TTATTTGAATGCATAAATGTCCAGAAAGAATTCACCTTCATTTCACTAAAAACACTAGGAGGGAAAGAGCTAATTTTTCTTTGTGGAAGAAATGAAAAGGAGGAAACATAAGAAATGATAAAAAGAACATCCAAAATTTACATAATGAATGAAAATTCAACAGAGTTCTGAAATACAGAGTTTCAGCTTCCTTATCCAGGCCATGTTAAATCATAAGGCTTCATTTTAGAATTGTTCAGTAGCTTCAATTAGCAGTCAAGCATTTCCATACATAATGTGAGGTAATTTCTCAAAAGAAAATCTATACAGCTTCTTCAAGGATTTTCTGCAGTTATTTTCCTTCTTTTATATTTGTAAACTTGAGGACTATTTATCTTAATGTAGGAAACACATGAACTGTAAAAATCAATCATGCCATTTATAATCTCCAGATATTGTTTTAGTATTTTGTCTTTCCATTTTATCCCCCTTTCAACTACTTTGTTAAATCTATTTTAATAAGAATGTTTATAAGTTGAAAACTTATTAATGAAATTTTGGAAAAAAGTATTATAATTTAAATACTTAATTGCTTAGTAGTTTATTCATTAAGATAAGATTTTGATGTGTTATCAGTAATCTGTTGAGCTTCAATATTTCAGAAAGTGATATTTATTAAAATACCTACAAATAATGTAGTCTGTGCTCCACAGAAATATAACATTTCCTGTTGTTATTAGCAATTTGACATTTCTTAAAAAGCAAAAATGATGGATAAAACTTCATAAAATATGATGGAAATACTTTATTAACAAGTCAAATAACATTACAACAAATATCTTTGTTTTTTAATGTTTGGCTAATAGGCCCTCTTTGTCAACACAGTACAATTTCACTCTAATAAAATAATATGGATAGCCCCAATAATTTGCCCAGTCCCTTGGAGCTTATGTAATTGAGTTGTATAACCATTCTAGTGGAATTTTCCTTTGCACATCTTGAACCAGCTCCTTACTGAACTAGTTTCTCTTTCAGTTCATATGTATAAACAACAAGATTTTAGAAATATGAAAGATTTTACAGATGTCAGGGAGAGAATTCTGTGTAGGGTAAATTTAACTCAATTTTATGTTTCAAAGTCCCAAGCAGTATTTCATTTCTAAATTTTTCAGGACAGTGGAAGTAGGAGAAGAAAATTTGTGTTAGAAAATGAGTAAAATATTTATGTTGTGGCAAGAATAAAACCTTTCAGGGTTTGTATAAGGTATATGTAATTGATATGAAAATGCAAAAGAATAATAGAGTATGTGCCCAGACCCATTTCTCAGAATCAGCACATTGCCACATGGGAGAATTCAGAAAGCAGGCTTCGGGATGACTGAAGGATGTTACAGGCTTCAGACTACAACAGTGTGGCTATAAGGATTGTCCACGGACTCCATCACTGCAAGGAAACACATTTAGGGGTGTGCAAAAGGCCAGCGATGCCTCTGTGAAATCAATGCCTTAAAACACATTGTTCAGGCCACAGCAGTGCTTTATGAGATGCCATTTCCTAAAAAGCTGACCTGTGTTCCAGGCATGGCTCTTGCTACTCTATACCTGTGGGTCTGAGACAGATTAGTCAGTACTTCTCTTTTCCAGCTTTATCACTTGCAAAACTGAGATAATGAACTTCAACTTTAAGACACCTCTCATGTCACATTAAGTAGAATGGAAATGCACCAACTGCATTGCAACTGAGATGAAGGTGACAGGACAGGAGATTTACAGGTGCAATACTTTTGCTTTCAGGTAGTTCAATTTGTACAATATCCATAAAATATTGAAGATCAATGTAGCTCCATCTTGAAAGCCAACATATTTCTTAGGATACTTATTTTTCTCCTTGGTACTATTTGTGTTGACTGCAGAATATTTTGTATCAACTATTTTCTATTATATTTATTTGAAAAATTGTCAGCATTTATCTTTATTAATTTTGATATTGTTGCATAAAGATGTTCTAAACATTAAATAAAACCTAAAGGGTGTCTAATGTCTACTAGTTGGTGCCAATATTGGCCAAACCATATGACACATTAGAATTAAATCATTTTTTTGTGTACTATTGGCTTAGGAAGAATGAAAAGTAAACACATGTCTACAGACAAAAGCCATACCACAAGATAACAGTTTTATTAAAATTTACTTTATAGATAGGCATATCTTTGCATACCACTCTACAGGTGATAGGGCATTGGTTTACCCTTTTTTAGTAATTAGAAAGATTGATTAGCTGACTCTGAATGACTGCTGGAGTGGGAAAATTAAAAGTAAACACAAATAATCAAGCCATGCTATTAGGCCAAGGCTGATGGTATTTGAGGGTGTGTTCTATTTGTCACAGAGAAGAAAATCTAAGGAACTTCAGTGTCATCTGACAGATATTATAGACAGAGATATAAAGTCTTCTGCTGGGAAAGATGACAGTTGTTCCATAGTATAGAAAGAGCTGGGAGAAGAGGATCCAAATGGCTTGCTATTTGGCGAGGAAAGAATAGGAATGTCCATGGTCAATATTATAAAAATAAATGAGGTAATGGAGAAATACATTTTATTTATTCATTTACTCATTACATTTAATACTAATTTATCCATTCATTCACTCATCAGTTTACCAACTCATTCAATAGTAACCTCACTAAAACAATTCGATGTATTTTTCTTCCTGTTTATATTTTATTGTGGATTTGGCCATCAATTGTATTTGTTTCTTTCTTTTAGGGGTTACAGTTTAGATATGAGGTGTCCCCCAAAAGCTCATGTGTGAGACAATGCAGGGATCTTCAGAGTTAAAATGATTAGATTATGAGAGCTGTAGCCTAATTAGTGAATTAATCTACTGATATAGATTAACTGATAGTAACCATAGACAGGTAGGATGTGGCTGGAGGAGAAAGTCACTGCAGGTATGACTTTGGGGTTGATATTTTATTCCTGGTGAGCAGAAAGACTGAATTTTTCTGTTACACCTTCTGCCATGGTTTTCTGCCTCACCTCAGGCCCAGAGCTATGGCGTCATTTTCCCTCCTCTATGTGGTTCTTGTCAGCTCTTTTTTGTCACAGTGAGAAAAACGTTGGCTAAAACAGGCCTATAGTTAATAGAATATGTGATGGTATTTTATCCACATCAGACACCACCTTAGAAACAAACCAATCAACAACCAGACAAACAAATACTGGAATCTAAAAAAAAAACCCAAACACCAAATATTTTTAAAAATTTAGCTAATGCACCATTGCTCTGTGGACTGACCCAATTTCAAATTCCACTAATTAATTAGCAAATGAAGTGATACATAAGAATATTTTTTGTTCTAAATTTGTTCCAACTTTGTTCCAACTTTGTAATTACTTACATGTAAAATGTGGGGCTCTATTCATTTCAGTCACCAGCTAAGTTAATGAGTACATGGGGAAGGAAAGGTTTGCAAAATTATTGTAATTAAGTTGCTTCAAAGGGCTACATTCTGGAAAAACAAGGAACTGAAGTTTTTAGTCCCCTAAAGAGATAAGTAAATATCCTGGAAGGAACCAAATATATTTTCTGCCTTAGAGTACTCTGATTTTGAGGATTACAGATAAAATCACCTGGAAATGTCATACAATCTGATGAAACCAGTGTGCTAGACTATGTTGGCTTCTGAGGAAGTACAATATAACAATATGAAAGAACATTCTACCTACCACATTCTTTGACAGGTGGGAGAGGGATACTAAAGCAGTCTGCTGTTTAGAAAAAAAAATACTTCCATCTTTATTTTTATTATATGCTCCACCTATAAAAGTGTGATGGTGTCAAAACGAACCCCACTTTTACATATGGCTAAAAGGTACTAATAAAAACATTAAAAAGTTTCATTCTGTTTTAAGGATCTATTAAAAACAAATCTTAAGTAACTAACATCTTAGAAGATAGGTAGAAGATAGTGAGAAGGCAAGATTCAAGGGGGTTACATGTATGTACCTTTAGGTTTCTTCTTTACGTTTTATTTCTTTTTAATGTAAAATTGGAATTTGTTGGCAAATATACTAGTCATCTTAGTTTATTTGTGGTCATAGACGTATGGCTATATGGTTGGAAATAGGAGATTGTATTATGTAAAGCTTAAATTTTCAGCCTACCAAGTTAATAAAGATATTTAAGGAAAACCATCAGTATAGTGCATGTTTACAAAATTAGAGGCAGCAGTTCTCACAGGCCACATTAAACCACTGTTATTGTTCAGATGTGGTGTCCTCCAAAAACTCACATGTGAGACAATGCAAGAAGGTTCAGAGGAGAAATGATTGGGTTGTGAGAGCCTTAACCTAATCAGTGAATTAATCCCTTTATACAGATTAACTGAATGGTAACTGAAGTGTAAGGGAGTGGATGGAGGAGGTGGTAATTGAGGGCATGGCTTTGGGATATATATTTGTATCTGGCAAGTAGAGTCTCTCTCTTCTTCCAGATCATCATGTGAGCCATTTCCCTCCACCACACTCTTCCGCCATGATATCCTGCCTCACCTTGGGCCCCATGGAATAGAGTTGGCTGTTGGTAGATCTGGATCTCTGAAACTGTGAGCCCCTAAATGCACTTTTCCTCTATAGTTGTGTTGGCAGGGTCTTTTATTCACAGCAGCAAAAATAGCTGACTTAAACAACCACCATCTGTACCTTTCACTCCTTTTCAATTCCCTTCTTTCTTGAGTCACTGGGCTTCCAGTACTTCATACTGACTCTGCTCCTACACATTAACAAAATGCTCTTTACCCAAAGAAATTTTCCATTGTTTTGTTTTAATTTCCAACAGCTCCAGCTTCATATCCTACTGTTTATTTGGTGATTTTTTGGTGACTCCAACTAAAGTGTAGTGAGACGAGGATATGAATTCTTCAGTTCTCTTCACCTGGTACCTTAGAATGTTTACCACCTTGGACTGTTGAGATGTAGGTTTCCCTAGTTGTTCTCCCTGGCAACAGGATTGAGTCAGGGTTCAGGCTTGTTCAACATGGCCTTGTATTTTAATGGTAATGATGACTTCTTGAAGAATGGGTACAAGGACCCAGCTAGGACAATTAAAATCTTTCTATAAACTTTTCCTTTGGAAATTATGGCAAACACAACCTGTCTTTCTTTTAGATGACTAGGTGGAGCAGAGAATTTTATTTAGAGATTCTGGATGCCATCTTTCTTTTCTTCATTGTTGTAAGAACATTTAACATGAGATCTGCTTTAGTGTAAAGTGCTATTAACCATAGGTATCATGTTGTTCAGCTGAGTTCAAGAACTGGATCATCTTTCATAACTGGGACTTTATACTGACTGAGGTATGAACCAACTCTCCATCTGCCCCTATGCCTTACCCCTGGCAAATACCATTCTACCTTCTGCTTCTGGGTATTTGACTACTTTAGATAGTTTCACTGTTTTGGAAGTGGAATCATGTAGTATTTGCCTTTTTCAAGCTCACTTATTTCACTCAGGATCCACATTGGTGGACATGGCAGGATTTCTCTTCATAAGGCTTATTAATATTTCATTGTATGCAAATACTACATTTTCTTTATCCATTTATCCACCGATGGATACTAGATCATTTTCATACATTGGCCATTTGAATAATGTTGCAATAAATAGAGGAGCAGTATGATTGCTAAATTATATGGTAGGTCTATTTTTTAATTTTTTGAGGAAGCTCAATACTGTTTTCATAATATCTGCACCATTTACTTTCCTATCAACAGCTTATGAGGATTCAAATTCCTTCATATCAACACTTTCGATTTTTGATAATAAATAATAAACAAAACTAATAAATCCTAAGATGTGGAAGAATATCATATTATGAGTTTGATTTACACTTCCATAATGATTAATGATGTTGAGGATCTTTTCTTTTACCTGTATGACTTCTTTTAAGAAGTGTTTATTCAAATCCTTAACCAACTTTAAATATTGTTTGTTTTTGTTTTCTGCTACTTAATTGAATGTATCTTATGTATTTTTGCATATTGTGGTTTTAAATGTTTTACCTTTCCATACTTTTTATTTTCTTTGTCCTGTTTTTCTTTGTCCTATAGAAATTTTTTAGTCCAATGTAGTCCCACTTATTTATTTTTAATTATGCTGCCTATGTTTTTATAGCATATTCAAGAAACCATTGCCAAGACCAATGTCATGAAGGTTTCCCCCTTTTTCTTCAAAGAGTTTTAGAGTGCTGGGCCTGCTCTTGCGTTTATATCTATCTTTAATACAATTTGCATTAACATTTGCATATGGAGCAGGACAATGTCCAATTTCATTATTTGGTATGTAGACATTCACCTTGTCTGACACCATTTATTAAAGAGATGTTTCTTGATAACACTGCATTCTTGGCACCATTATGAAAAATCATTTGATTTTCTTATATGCATTAGTTTATTTCTGGATTCTCTGTCATACTATTCTGTACATCATATTTATTCCAGTACAGAACTCTTTTAACTATTGAATTTGTGTCTCTTTCTCTCTCCAGTTCAGTAAAAGTTTGTTTTATATGATTAGAGTCTTTGATGTTGAGCGCATATATATTCATAATTGCTATGTCTTCCTGGATGAATTGATCCTTTTCTTCATATATAATATTTTTCTTTTTTTCCTATGATAACTTTTGATTTTAAAAATTTATTTTTTTCTGATGTAAATGTAGCCACCCTGCTCGCATTTGGTTCCAATTTTTATGGTATATATTTTTTTATACTTTTAACCCACATGTGTTCTTAAGGCTACTGTGAGTCACTTGTAGATAGCACATAGCTGGATCTTATTTTTTATCCACTGGCCTGCTCTATGTCTCTTAGTAGGGGATTTTAATGGAGATATATCTATATCTCTCTCTATATAGATATAGATAGTTATTTACATATATAGATACATATCTATCTATCTATCTACAATCAGGATTGGAGAAATATATATATATAAATATACATATATTTATATATATATATTTATA